TTAAATTATTTTATTGCTCACAAAACAAACAACCACTCATAATTAGAAAATTAAGTCTTGTTTAAATACTGGCCTCCCTTCAATGGTCGAGCCGTTGATGCCAGCTAAAACACGCAAAAATTTAACAAAAATAATATTAAAGTAGCCAAGACATAGCCAAATATTGTAATGCCACATCACAAGCGGACATTTGAAATTTGCTGACTAGAATGGTCGGATAACCGATGTGATGGTTAATCGGGGATCGGATAATTGATGCTCTACTGTAGTAATTTTAGACATTCCATTTCTTTATTTATATTAATTTTGTTTGTTCTGTCAACAGTTAAATATAAATTAAGCCTTTTTAATAATTCTTGCCAAATAATAAAAGAATTGAAGTGACCAACAGAAAGCTCATGATCCCAAATTACAGTTGAGTTTTCTCCATTTATTAAAACCATATATAAACCGTGTTGATTGATCTTTTCTTTCGAAAAATAATACACAGCAAAATCAAAATACTGAGTCTTGAGCTTCTGAGAAAAGTAACCAGCTGCGAAGCTGAGTTTCACCACTTGGCATTTTTTTAAATAGTATGATGTAAAAAGTGATCTACCTTCAACATTCTTAACAAAAGTATCTTGATGATGATGTTTAGTTCTGGTTTTAACACAAAATAATCTAAATTTATTAGTTACAATATTTGGCCACAAACTGCGATTGTTTATATTCACTTGATCACCAACATTATTATCATTTTCATCGTTATTTTCTGTATTGAATAGTTTGTAGAAACACATGTGCCTTTTTCGACAAATTCCACAGTTTCTACATTTTCATGGCAAAGTAAAATGCTCGTATACACGCGCGCCCATCTATCGTAGGATAAACGTACTATGCCATAAACCTTCATGGGAATGAATTAAACAATTTCCCAAAGTTTCACAGCAATTGGATAAACGGTGTGGTAATGCATGAAGGACAGACATACAAACATACATTCATTTTTATATATATAGATGGTTATACACCTATGTGATAAAAGTATAGTAACACAATTTTAAAATGTACCATTACATGACATGTAAGTTTTTTATGTTATTGTTTCCCCCACCTTTTTTTACACCAATGTCGTAAACTTTACTTTGATTTGGATTTTTAACAGCATTGAAGAGGGGTTGGGAAAATAAACCAACCTGAAATGCATTTGAATAAAAAATTGTTTTAAATAAACTGTAATGTTTTCCTAAGCAATTGCTGTTTGGTTGTCTACCAAGAGTCATTTTTGGATTACCAGGATGCTACACACAAAATTTTTTAAATTGGAAAATTAATTATCATCATCTATTTATCAA